TTATTCGTACACGATGACGGCAATAGCTAGCGCCTAAGTCAATCAGTTTGCCAAGGAAATCCATCAAACAGTATATACTTTTTTAGCATTGTAGATGAAATTGGGCGATTAAAGGTCCTCGAATGGCATATATGATGTTTTCATAAAGGAAACTACTCACAAGGTTGCTACAAACTCTTCGACAGCCCACGGCCGGTTTCGCCCTTCTTAAGGCTCATCAGGTAGGAGCAGTCCCCGACTTTCCGTCAACCTTATGTTCTACTTGAAACCAAATTTAACTGTTTTCGAGAAATACACTCATTTGCAAATTAGTTTAGTTTTCACGAGAGACAACTGAATCTCTAGTATATGACGTTCTACAACTGAATGTGCTGCACACAGGCGGCCTCATGATTCAGTTGACACGATATTCGAGACATCGCAGTATCTTTTCGTAAAGGAAACTACTCGCAAGGTTGCTGAAAACTCTTCGACAGTCCACGACCGGTTTTGGCCATTCTTGGGGCTTATCAGATAGGCGCAGTCCCCGAGTTTCCGTCAAACTTATGTTCTACTTGATATTCAGCTATTCGAGAGAATAATCGCTGGTCGAAGCCAAACCAGCCGAAAGACGTGTTTGAATTCGTGCTGAATGTCCTGTTGCTACAAGTTGCAAATCACCTACTATTCCGACGCATAGGCGTTTTCTGGACCTGAAAATTTCAACGGTCAATCTTTCATTGACCGGTCACAGCTATATCTCCAATATTCAGCAGTTCCATTATCCTAAGGATTGAGTCTGTTTAGCTTTATGCTTTCAAAAACACCACAAAATGACAGGTAATTTTCACTCCTTATTTCAGAGAGAACTTCAGACCCACTTAATTGTTACAGAACTTATTGGTCTGCCGAAAACGATGACCATATTGATTCCAGTATAAGTGAATCGTCCAGTAAGGTTGAGCTTCCATGGATATGACAATTAGGTTATATTCGACTTCTTGATAGGAAACCTCGCGGGTAGGCTGAACTATATCGCTAAGTTCCGGAAGTTCAAAAATGCCGCAGTCAGGTGCGACTGAATTCGTTTTTCATTATTTCGAAGAGGTTTGAGTAGCGAAAAAACCTGTTTTGTTAGGCATGTTGCGGAGTTCGGAAATCCCCGGTCACAACAACTTCTCCTAGTCCGCTGAAAAAATCACCGAGTAGGTAGTGCCGACTCCAATAGTTTAATGCAACCAGTTTGCTGTCGATTACTTTTGCAGATACAATACAAAATTAGATTTTCCGTTGTATTTTACCACGCGCGCATTAGTAGTGTAAAGGAACTTTCCAGGAAAATGGCCAATAGTCTTTCGGACAACTTTTAATAGGTCCCCAAAAGTGCTGTTCTGGTAGCTAACGATAAAAGTCACGGTCAATGCAGTAGTTGAGTTCTACAAATGTTGCTTCGTTCTGCTCCTTTTTACTCATCGCATTACAATTCCCGTGGTCTTCATCCAACAAACTATTGCCTTCATACCAAAAACATTTTGTGAACATTTTGGTAGATTTATTGCTACCATCACATTAATCCCACCGTGATGATTGTCAGCCATCTGTGTGAAGCATTGCATGCAGTGCGCATGGTTAAGAAGGAGCTAGTTAGTCCTGGGTACGTTAGGTTAGTACACACTACTTGGGTCAAAGATTTTTCCCAAAATGCCAAAAAATTTGAACACGGTGGTCATAACATTCTGCTTAGTGTGGATTCGGATACTATTGCCTACCTTGGATGTCATATGCAACAGTGGACCTAAGATAATATCCAACACCGTACTTTGGACTGTCCGAAGGCGTGTTGTATAACCCCACTCGCCGACTACTGACTTTTAGTGAGTAGCTCAAAATGATCTGGTCCTCAGAACGCCTAATGGCGGGGTGCGCTGATTCGAGCTCTTTCATGAATGCGCCCGAATCGATGCATCAACCTCTCCTCACTTACTTCTGATGGCATTGTTGTTCCAGTAACAAAGGCTCTACATTGTTAGCAGCTTGACCCTAGATTCATTCCCTCAGATTACGTCAAACTGATTATGGATTATCAGTTTGGGTAGAAATAAACCACTTTTCAAGAGGCATGGTTAAACGGGAAATCTGCGCTCCACTCACTCAAATCAACAGTGGATTTGCTAAAAGTGGCACGATAATTTTCAAAGAGTCAACATTATTTTACGACGAGTTTGGTTTTTTGAGTAGGTAGAACCCCCACCCCTGTCATATGACCAGCGTACATCACCAGCAAAATCAAGAATTTCAAACGGAAGCAACCTCTAAGCGTTCCATGAATGAGAAAGCAGAGTCATCAAGTTATCCGAAAAGAAGTGAACACATTGGCCTCCCAACATTCCCGCATAAGCAGTTCGCTGCGCGAGCTCATCTGACGTTGAATCATGTCAACTTTCCGGACCTAATAAAAAGGCTTCAAGTTCTTATAACCAATATAAGAACAAAGGTCTCATAAATTAAATCTACAGCGTTGGCACCGAAAACTCCATTTTAATGGCATGCGAAAACTATGTAGTGTCTTTTTCTGAAGAATTTTAGGAAGCCAAGATAATGTCCTTATTATGAACAGTTTTTAACTGTAACTTGCGTCCACTTATATGAACATAGTATTGAACATACGCTGAAGAGAACACCGACAACAACATTAATTTCAGCATTCGCTGTTCACGCAGTTTCGTATCGAACTTTCGTTATTACCACTTGGTTCGATCCTAGGACAACACGTGCAAGTAGACTGGCAGAATTTGCAGGTTGTCCTGTAGGAGTCCGCAATATAAAGGACAAAAATCAAATTAGAAGACGGCCACATCATCAACAGCCATTATAAATTAGAGCGGTTCCGTTAAACAGGGTTGTAAATGACCACCATCATCATTCTAACATTTCCGTGAAGTTCAAGGTCTTGGTGAAAGCATTTCAGTTGGTGAACGCCAACACTTTGCCCGCTTCAAATACATCACTCTAGCTCGGTATATAATAAGAATTTTGGCGTATATTTTTGAGGCTTGCGCATGGAGTAAAATGCTTCAGTTAAGAGAATTTGGAAAGTGCTTTCCTGGTATGGCTACATAAAACCTCTACTGAGTGGCAAGTTGAATAGCTAGTTCCGGAGATGGGTGGCCGAACATAATGTACTATCCAAAAAACGGCCAAATGTGACCCAGGTAATAATGATTCGGAGGAGCGAAAGATGATCACTACTCGGTGAAAACGGCCACAAATTGAAGGAATGCTTGGAGCAAATCTCTCAACTCCACTTTCCTTTAGCATTAGACATAAAATCGGGGTTGGCCTTGAGCATGTGTGGTTTCTCTTGGTAATGGTGCAGCCGTCAGAATGAATGTTCTCAAGCAAAGAACGAACTCATATTGATGGAAGTTCCTTCATACCAGGTAGATAAGTATTATATTTCAGTCACACTGAAAACGATTGCCTACTCGCTTCATGAACTAACTGTTGAATGGAATCAATTATTTTACACCTAGCAGTCTCTAAGTTTTATGTTTTTCTAGGCTAAGTTCGCTTCATGTGGTCTTTCATCAACACCTGTAAAAACTCACTCTGTAAGAATTTCTCACTTTTACAACTCTCCTTTATATACGGGTACATATCTGTACATGAATACTCAACCTAAGGCTGTCAACTTGTTGTAGTAGTCGGGTTTCACTTCTGTAATGATCCTGCTGGCTATACTGGTTAGAACTCAGTTTCCTAAGTTTCAACCATACCAGAAATTCCAGCCAGGAGCTGTCTGACCAATAGCATTGATTCCTAATACTATGATAAACCATATTGCGAGACGGTCTGGGGATAAAGCCGTAACGCTGACTACGACAGAAAACAGTAGCGTGTCCCAATCAACTGGCTAGAGTTGCCGTATTCATAGAAGTGAGATTGCTCTCTTTCCCCTGCGGAAAGGTGGGTTAGAAAAGCCGGATAGCTCTAAAATCCGGATACTGCGGTCGTCCGACGAGGATACTGTCCACCACGGAATCATCATCAAAGTTTCGTGAAGGGAGTCAACCAGTCAATTGACCAGTTGTGAACTTTGAAAAGGCCTTTGAGTCAGTCAACAAAGAAGCACTGTGGATCATATTACGAGAGATTGCTGTTCAAACAAATGTGTTGACCTCATCAAAGTTTATCACGCTGGGGTTGAAGCTCGGCTGCGGACCTGTGGAAGTATCTCGAACGAGTCGGAGATCAGTGCTGCGATGGAACGGGGCTGTGTTCACGCCCAACCCCTTCTCAGTCTGTTTTACTACCATTAGGTAGAGGTGTCCTGCTATTTTAAAGGAAGTCCACCAACTCAGTACCGGTTGGATGATTATTCGATCAGTTCGGAGCCTCTTCTGGACAAAACACTGTGCGAACACTACCCAGTGTCCATATGCTTCTTCATGCAGACGCTTGAGTCTTATTTTCACATTCTGAGGTGGATTTTCAACTCCTGACTATTGTGCCTTGCTTTGAGTTAAATGTAAAATTTCTATGAAGCGTTGTTCTTCTACCAACATTCACCTAGGATTCAACATGAAGCATCGCGTATTCTGTTAAATGGGTGTGAGATAACATGCTGCACTGGTTTAGGCTATCTTATCCATCTATCTTGGTCATCTATCTACCTATCGATCGCGACAACAATTAACACGGTTTTTGGCCGCTCTGACAAACTCTTCAATTGCGTGTGGACCTACTGCATTGTATCGGAGTTTTGTGCCGTTTTCAGCACTGCAAAGCAGCAAGACCTGGACACCATACTGACGGATATTTGACTGATTCAGATCAAAGAGACAGACATAATCCAAACACCGAAGTCATTGAGAAAGAGCGTTGCTGAAACCGAATGCAGCCTGATGTGAAACCAGTTCCCATAGTCGAGCAATATGCCGAATCAAAGGAATCTGTGGATGACACCGGTACCTCAATGACAAACAGTAAACTGGTACTTGTACCCATTGCTATGCCATCAGTTTAAGGCCATCTGACGGCTTGCATCAGGCCGCAGCATGCTGGCATTCCGATCTGATTTCTTCGAATCTGCATCAGCACCAAGTGCTTGTGCGCATCACCACCTTGGGGTCCATGTAAGTTGTTTGTGTATTCTCACCACGCGCAGATGCACAGTGTTTTGACCAACATCGACCGGCAAATCCGATTCATATGCCAAACATTCACACAAAAGAAACTGAGAAGTACTGTGTTAGTCCAAAGAACTCAAAATACATGGTAGAAAGGTAGACTTCAGGTTAGCGAAATACACTCATTTGCAAGCAAATTTGGTTTTGCGAGAGACTCATCTGGAACCCAACTGAATATCTTGTGTACTATGTTTAGGTTACTTTAAAAAATAATCTTAGAATTATCAGAAAATATTGACTTGGACAGTGACGTCTAACAAAAAGTCATATACGTTAATCTATCTTAGCCCACGAATGTAAATGGTCCATGCGTGGACGGCTCACATCAAACTACCGTAAGTGCGGATTCACCTACTTACGCAGATTGGGACACGGAAACCGTAAGCAATGTTACTACCTACCGCTTTCAAGGCACCTGTGGATAAGTTGTGGCCAATCTTCTATTAACTGCAACAGAAGAATTATACCCCTACTGATTACGCGCATAGTAGCTGTGCATTATCATCCGATGTGGTGTCATACATCTCTATGACATATATACATATATACATTTGTAAATATGTATGCACGTCTACAGAGAGAACGGAGGGACACACACTCAAAGCTCCAAGGTCCTCTTTCTTCAAGAAGCAGGTTTGAAGTCACCCATGCCTCAACCTTTTTAGTAAACCTTCCTTAGACCTAAAAGCTATGGGGAAAGGAGCATTTGTGTTACTTTTCAGTTGATCGGAAACGAAATCGGTTATTGTCATCACGAATAACAGGGAGGCAAAAAGTAGTGTCTGATCTCGGCTAATTTGTTTAATGCGTTCAATAGTACGTGCGCGTTCCTTTTGTCATACAGAATAGCAGCATACATGAGGAAACCAATCGAGTTCCGAGGAAACTTGACGAGGACTGGAGGACTTGGGTTTGGAAATGTTGAAAAGTAGTGACCAACCACTCGGATTCATGTCAATGACGAGCACAACTTTCGCTACTGGCGCCGGATACTGCTGTAGCCTGTTGTTCAAAGTAACAACCAGCCGATCTTTCCACAAACATCTGAGTAATTTGAGCCAGGACAAAGCGACTTGCGGATTACTCCTTGGAAGTAACCGCATAGTGTCGCAATTGTTGGGTCTCTTTAGATTCAAAACTCACAAGATTGATGCTCAACGAAGTTTCGATGCATGTTATGGAAATTTTATAAATGATATCCTCATATGTTCAGACTTATAGAAAAATTCTGTAACATAGGCCACCTGGAGAGATCACTGCGGTGGTTTAAATCAGATAACCAACGGTTTGCAACTCAAGGTGATGTTGGCGGGACCTCAGTTCGGTTTTTGCTACCAAGTAATAGAAGCTTGGAAAGCAATAATTCAATCGTCTAAATAGATCCACAGATTTTTTTACACGTGAAAGCTTCAAATGCAAGCATTTTTTGTATTCCAAAACCATTGGTCTTAGGATGACTGTCCGTAAGTTTTGTGAGCCTCGAAATTTGTCCTCCCATTGGTTTGACACCATTACTTGCCGCTCAAGTCAAATGTCTTCAACTGATTGACTGATGTTGCTACATTTCTCCCTATTCCAACATTCCGTGCCATGGATACTATTTTGCTCTTGCACTTGGCAATTATACGAAAGAGGCTTTACACCCAACCGAACCAGACAATCCGATGACCGATCAGCTAGTTTCCACCACCTTACTGAGAAGCGTGTTGCATTTTTCTGAGGGTTCCTCACTCGGGAGGCGTAACGTCCCTGCAAATGAGCATAAATTTTATGTTGGACTAGTTTGGCCATGGCAAACTTCTCTGTACAGCCCTAAAATAAAGCACGATTAATGACTTTAAAGGATACATCCTGGGATTTGAACATGAGGACATAAGCTCAGACAAAAACTAACAATAACATAACCTTTGGCGTGGAATAAAACGCACTACTTGCGATTTACAAAACTAGTAACTCAATAAATCTCGTAGACCAGTGGCTAGGTAAGTTACATGTTCGAAATACGATTTTCATATGCATCCAAAATGAAAGGAACATCACTGACTTTTGTACTTTAGGCTAAGCGGGTCTGTGCTACGTTATTGTTTAGGTCATCTGAAGAACTCTGGCATCCGTCGTGCTAAACAGTGAAGTACCTCATTCAGGATGCTCACAATACCTATGAAGCGGTTATTCGCCTTGATGTCAGATATCAACCAAGCTTCTCACCAAGTGCAGCTGTAATGTTATAACCAGAACTTAGATGCTTATGTTTCCCGCTGTCTCTGGTGAGTGGTTTTATCCATACAATGATACCCAAGTGATACCAGTTGATAATTACTTCACCAAGGGAAGTCAAGCTTCTAGCGTTTTTTCTAAATGCGCATAATCAAACATATGTGTACCAGCTGGCAACAGCTGGTTTGACTGGGTTTGTCTCTAAATAAATAAAGGGAAGCTCAAAGCGAATTTTCGTCACCTTCACCTACATGATAAGCTTTTATTCTAGGGGCGAGCTTCATGAGCCAATTCATGGGCTGCAAACCACTTCTTAGCGTTATACACTACTCATCATAAACGAGCGATTCAACTGGGTTACAGGTGAGTCTCTCGCAAAACCAAATTTGCTTGCAAATGAGTATAGTTCGCTAACGTCTTAGCATTCTTCTTGATTACGGTTTTCGCCTCGTTCACCGACAACGTTTTACCAAACTCCGGTTTCTTTCTACGCAATATTGATGTCCCACTCTTGTGACTGGCTTATCAGGTCATCCAAACAAACGATATCCGGGCACCTCTGTCCCTCCCTCGATACATACCAAAAACTTTTATAGGGGGTCCAACTGACGCACATGGACACCGATCACAATTCGAAGAAAGCAGAAGACAATGACCGAATCCAAGATGAGAAGTTCAGAGTTAGAGGAGAACCAACAAAAATAAACGTACTAAAACGGCTCATTGAAAAAGACAGTGCCGAATTTCAGCTGTGGTTTTCGTACTATTTACCAGCCCCAACATCATAAGTTATATTCCTCTAAAACGAAGTACACCGGAAAATGTTCTGCGTAGTACAGGATTTCCGAGAACCCAGAGTTAATCGTAACACCAAATGATTTGTTGTTCTGTACCCATGCACCCCCATATGTAAAAATCGATTATACCTAATGTGATTCCTTGCCTTTTTTGAAGTGGCTGCCGTTTGACAAACAAAGAATGACCTGATTGCTATTGGTTACCACATTTTGATCTGACAATTGATCGTGTACCTCACTGCGCGGCACGCATGCTGAGATACCGACAAAATTTAAAACTGGTTTGCACCAATGGCAAAAGGGTAATTGACTCGTGTGTAATCCTTTCAATTTAAAACAAATCCATGACCAGCCGACTCACCTTTTGCTTCAACAGTATGAAGAAACAAAGTAGAAAGATATCCCATCTTATTGCTGTGTTGGAAACAGTCGTGATTTTTCTCAACCAAGTGAGCACAAGAACGCTGTCAGAAACATAGTTTGAGTTTTTTTTCATAAAGGAAACTACTCACAAGGTTGTTGAAAACTCTTCGACAGCCCAGGACTGGTTCCGCCCTTCTTTGGGCTCATCAGGTAGGCGCAACCCCCGAGTTTTCGTCAACCTTGTGTTCTATTTGAGTTTGTTTTAATAGTTGGTTCATGTCCTGACTCTATTCGTGAACCCGAAACGCATGTGTGGAAAACGAATAGACGTTTTTTATAGGCACAACCACCAACCCACCGCTACGCACTCCCACGCTCCACATTAACGCACTGATGTTTGCAATCAAATTGCCCAGCTAAGCGAACAAGCCAACGACCACGAATAGACGTGCATGCGAAAGGAAAGTAGAATACAGTATGACACACGTGACTGTAAGGCCTTTGACATGTGATGCACCTAACCACTGGAGAATGGTGGTTTTCATTGATCAGTGTTACGTGAGGTTGGAAAGTTCTCACGTAAAATCCACACAATTTCTTGGTAAAACTCACCTGCCAAGTGGTTAGGCTACCCAATGGTCTCCTGAAGAGCGTTTTCAGTTACCCTGGTTCTTGCACAGTGAGGTCAATGATACAGATCAGAGGCCCTAAGATACCATCTAACTAGTCACAGAGCCAAGTAAAAGTCCGTTAATTTATCCTTTGGAACAAAACTGTAGCCAGCGTTGCAGACTAATCTCGTGGTACTCACACTAACAAAACACGTTTATAGAGCGGGCAGTTAAAATAGCGAAATAAAAAAGTCAGAACCACTTTTCTCGTCCCAAACAAGATGACGGTTCCTAGATTAAGATCAAGAATCCTTCCAGAAGTTATTTAATTCTGAAACGAACAAACCAAATACATATGGAATGAGCGAACTGAAGTGGATAATATACACTATTGTCCCTTTTTCATCTGGCTGAATCAAACTTCTGGTCCAATATGAACGCAAATCAAGAGGTCCACAAATATCTTTGAAAGATGAAAACTATTAATCCGCTTTTTGCAGTCGTGTCGATTTCGGTATGAATTCAGGGGGGCTTATTTGTCACGTGATCTATGCGTCTTCATTAGTTACATTGGTCGGACGCATAAACGGCGACCGAGAATGAGGTGTTTGATTCCCCTTTCACGTATCTTTTGGCTCATAACGATTCCACTTAATGTTAACGTTTCAGGAACCTTTTCGAGCACTGGATTATCCACATTAGTTTCTGTATACAGCCACATAAATCTGGACAGCGGTGTATTAGCTGGAAACTACATCATACATAAACCCGATAATCTCTCCTTCATAAATGTGGCACGACCTACAAGATTTCTTTCGACATTATTGTCCGTCCTGGCGAACCCCTATTTTTCAAGAAAGTCGTTTAGCATGAGGAGACACATCAAACAGCAAACTCATTATAAAGCAGGCAACTACGGTGAATTTCCCAAAGTCGTTACCAAGTTAGCACTGAACTC